CTGGCTGTTTTCCATTTCATTTTTCTGTAACTCACTTGACTCTTGACTAAGATACATATGCAAAATTTGCCATTGCTAATCACATATCTCCCAAGATGTGAAATGCAGCAGCAATGCACCTTCATGCCACACTTTTTTAAATTGTATTTCATCACCGTCAGTGCTGACTATACCATCCCAACTCCAGTCTTAGGACCTTTTCTTTGCCGTTCTCCATCAATCTTTTCTGACAAATGTTCCAGGACAGAAGCAACACATCTGGTGTTTTTGTTAGTATGGCTGGGAGTGGCTGCCTGCCGCATAGTTATCAAGCCACAGTACTATAGACTATTTTAAGACTATAATTTTTGATTTTATAGCTCATCTATTTCATGTTAAAGCAGATATTTAGGTGTATTCTGACAACAGAAATATACACTCTCCGCTTTCTGGAAAGCTAACATCTCTAAATTTCTTCACATACTGAGCAGCGCTTTACTCCATCCCAGTAACAGTGATTTTCCAGCAGCAGTACAGTCATCCAGCAAACACTGCTACTGAGGTACCAAGAGCTGATGGGGCAATGGCCACTGCAGGAAGCTGCAGGCACTCAGTGATCACCATTGCTTAGTTGTGGTTACCAAGCCTGCAGAATTCATGGGCAGAAAACAAGAGAAACAAGACACATGAGGTTTGATTTTGTCTGACCCTACCCATCATTAGGAAGGGTGGTAAGTAGGCAGGGCAGCTGGGGAAAATACAGAAGTTTTGTCTCTCATATATTAAATATGTCCAGCCAGCTCTTCAAGCAATTTAAACCAGCATGGCTCCCTTGAGTTCAATAAAAGGATGTCAATGTACATCAGCTGAGCGTGGCTTCATGACTTTTTAATACACCCCAGTGGAGCAACCCAGCACAGCAAGCATCTTCCACGTTAAAAATCCTTGAAATACAATGGTATAGAACCCAAAGTAATTCATCCCCCCGCATCTTCAAGCCTAAATGACGGAACACAAAGAAACTGCCAATGAGATTTTGTTTTTTATAATTTCAGGATGCAACCACGCAAATCATAATGCAGTCAAGTGTTTTACCCAGGATCGCTGTATGCATTGAGGCCACTGAGCTCCACCGACCTTTTTGTGCACAAGCACAGACGTGCTGGAGTGCTCTGCTAAGGTGCTGGCAATGCATTTTGCATCTGCCTTTTATAGGGCATTTTTGACTTGATTAACCATTTAGAGCATGAGCCAAATGTTGCACTGTCTCATACTTTGTGCAGTACTCCCATATCCAGTGAGAAGGGAGATGCCTAATAACTTTTGCTGGGACATATTGCTAGCAATCCTTCAGAAATACTTGTGGTAAAACAGTCTTCTGTTAAGTGCTGAATGAGGAAACTTAAATAAAATATATTATAGTGAAATGACGAGCCACTGAGCATTTGGGATCTGGTTAACAATGTGCTGTTAATCTCTGATCATCTAATGATATAAAATGCAGTCACATTGCCTACAACATTATGGAACACAATACCATGTAGACATCTATTAATAAATAGTTTCTTTTTAATTAACATTTTAATGACATTAAAACACAACAGAACTTTCTACAGTTTTTTCCATGTCACACTGAAGAAGCTCAAATGTGTATTAATATAATTCCATTCACAAATAAAGTCTTGAAAAAGGTTGACAAGAAGCAGCAAATTTCCAGTAAAATTAATTAGGCTCTTGTCTTTATCATTCTCACACTGTAGAAATGCAAATACTATATAGGAAAAACCTCCCAGCTCCAGTCCTGCTTGGGGAAATACAGACAGATCTGTTGAAAGCTATACTAAAAATGTCAACTTATGAAGAAAACCATATTTTGTGGGTTGAGTTACACATGTCTGTTTTAAATCTACATTTCGCAATCAGAGAGAAATATTACGGGGCTAATCCTCCATCTTTGAAAACACAGCTCACAAAACCACTGGGAGTTTTGCTGAAGTAAGGAATAAATCAGTGCAGAGTCAAAACCCATATTTAAATATTCCAATTAACTACAGAAACATACCAAATATTACTGAAAATCACTTCTGGTATCAGCTGAAGAGTGTCTATTTAATCAACTAATGCAATTTCTATGAAACCTAAGAATTACTCATTTGCTCATTTTCAGGAGTTAATTTTAGAGATTAATTCCAAGTTTCATCCAAGTTTAACTTCCTACGAGTATCTGTTGCAAAGTGCCATGTTCTCTTTTTAACTCCAACAATATTTTAATAACTGGTGTAGTTTATCAAATATTCTTTACTTCTAATGCAGTGTGTTGCTTAAGCAGCTACTCTTCATTAATTGACCTGCAGTAATGCTGGAGTATATTCTTATAGCTTCGTTACGTTAGAAGTTGCAATGGTCCAAAGGATGCACGCTAAGAAATAACACTCTGCCTCCAAGCATTAATATCAGATTTTGTGGCTGATGAGAATTCAGCGCTTTTGAGACTGTTTCTGCAACTTAGTGCCTGCTCGTCTTAATTTGCATTCTCCTTTCCCATATGTGAGTTGGTTCATTTTATACAAGTTGTACAAGTAGGGCAGGCAAGAGGGTCAGGTTGACTCAGTGCGGACTAGAAATTCCTCAGTATTAAGTCAAAAATATTAGGGTTGTGAACTTTAAATATACTTTCACATAATATAGTCTAGGGGGTTACGTATAGATAAAGACAGTGTTTCCTTGGACAGCTCTATTAGTTCATATATCAAGGAAAAAGCTTTTTAGCATGAACGTGAAAGAAATAGTAAGACACTAAAGTATTGTATTGCATGAAACTGAAAGTGTATCTTATCTCAGATTCCACTATTTTCTCCTAATGGATCAATTTTACTGTTCATTTTCTTGTTTAGAGGAATAGGAAAGTAATCATCATCTAGATGCTGAGAAATAGCCAGAATTTCCCTTCACAACTAATTAAATGCCAGCAAAAGAATCCGTTCATTTGTATCATAAGCCAACAAAATCAAAAAAAAAAAATCCAAAAGCTCCCTAACAGTGCAAAATGCAATTAAATACAGTGTATTAATTCAGGCAGCAAACTGCAGCACATTGTATGGCAGTGCTTTCTTTTTCTTAATTAACCAAAACGCGACAAAGAAAATCTGATGGCTTAATGGCATTTTCGTCAGTCAGAAATGCTTTGGAATGATTTTATTATGTTATCACAAAGAGCGTAGAAGGAGTTATTTCCATTACTTCTGTGTGTCACTTTGAAGAGTGACAGAGAGACTTGTCCCTGTTAGCGGATGTGAAGGATTAATATTGATGACATCATTACTTTATAGGCAGGATAACTACAGCAATAAGTACATAGAATATTTTACACATTCGCAACCACCTAAGGAACATTCATTTCAGGCAGCATCACTCTGGATGTGTGTTTGCTGCTGTGATTGAAAGCTTAGCAATTTGTCTCACTTACTGTCATATGACCATAGACAGCATTAGGGCACCATCGCTGCAGTCATCACTACAGAGCTTGCACCAAACGGACACACATCTCAGAGAACAGAGAACCCACAAGTTGTGCAGGGCTATGTAAGAGAAAAGCAGTGTGGGGCAATTGCCTGGTAGCCTCGCTAGATTGATCACAGCAAAGCACTTCGTGCAGCAGAAGGATGGACATAGGGAAGAGAGCACACTCTAAACCTCTGCCAGGTCCTTGCAGAGCTGATGCCAGTTGCGAAGCCAAGGCTCCATCCTGCACAGAGCTAAGCAGTTAGCCTACATCCAAGCAAATATACTTTCGTTCAAACTCTAAAATGCTCCAGTTGCCTCAGAAGCTATTTCCAGCCTTAACAAGGAAGTTAAGGCTGCCTTGCAGCAGCAGCCAAGCAATGTATTTGCAAAGCTACAGCACGTGCCTGAGTTATTTGAGCACACTTTCTCCCATGAGTTCCACTAGCCCTGAATTCACTTTGCGTCTCACCTGCACTCTGTGTGTACACACTGCCTCTACACAGGGCACAGCTCTGTGGTGGGAAGCAGAGAGAGCAGCAAACTTCAGCTGCACTGCATGGAGAAAGGAGAGCACGCTCTCCGCATGCAGACAGCTCCAGACACATCTCAGATTTTCAGCTGCAAGTTGCTGGGTGCCTTCAGATTGTCCTTTCTCAGTGCTTTGAGGAACTGAGCCCCTTCATTTATTCCTATCTAACCCTTGATGAGCTCTCCGAGCTGGGAGCAGCCTTCCGCTGGGTTTTTAGAGGAGAGCTCGTGAGTGGGGTTAGCACTTGAGGCTAAGAGGTACCAATCTGCTGCTTGGCACAGGGCTATGCTTTACCCAGTGCGTCCCCCCGGGCGGTGCAAAAGATTTCTTTTCTCTTTACTCCCTTCATGTTCAGCACTTCCCAAGAGAGACAGGCAAAAGGGATAAGAGAAAGAGAAGAGCGGTACCTCCTGCCTACAGCCTACAACACAGTTGCTCCTCACCCCTAACTCCTGCGATACTTTGTATTCACCGTCTCACTGATCGACACAAGAAGCCCACTGTCGGGAGAGCGGCTTCCTGCGAGCCGAGCAGGGTTTCCATGGTGCGGAGTTTTTCCTTTAAAAAACAAATCTCTGTTTGCTGGGGCTAACGAGTACGGATAGCACTTCGGGAGCGCTCCGTTCCAGGGTGAGGGGCTAAGAACGAAGGAAGGAAAACACTTTCCCCTTCGGAAAGGAGGACGGGAGCAAGCAACAGAAGGTCGGAGCGCGCGGTGCAGCTCCGACCCGGGAGATCTCGCCACTTTTCAAGCTCTCCGAGCCGCTATTCGCGGTCCCCGCGGCGTTGGGCAGAGGCTCCCGTCCCCTCTCCCCCCGCACCGGGCACCGGGGCAAACTTTCCGAAGTGGCGGCGGCGAGCGAGAGCCCGCCCGGATCCGCTCCGCCGGGGGGCAGGGCCCCGCTCCCGACCCCGCACCCGCGCACTGCCCGCACCCGCTGAGCGGGGAGCCCCGCGCCCGGCGGCGGTGCCCGCGGGCGGCACTCACCGATCCGCAGCACTTGCTGCCCACTGAGGGGCAGACCCGCCGAGGCGCACAGCAGCACGAAGAGGAGCCCCCCGCCGCCGCCGCTGCCACCACCCGGAGCCGCTCGCCGGGGCCACCGTGGGCCGAAGGCGCTCGCCATCCTCAGTTCATGCCGGGTCCGCGGTGCGGGGCGCGGGCGGCTACCCCCGGCGGGGCCGGCTGCGCGCCGCCGCTCCGCGCCGCCCGCCCATGGCGCGGGGGCTCCGCGCCGCCCGCCCGCGCTCCCGCCGCCGCCTCCGCGCTACGCTGCGCTGCCCGCGGCTCCCGCCGCCCCGCTGCCCTCGACCCCCCGCCGCCACCGGGAGGGAGGGACGGGGCGGGAGGGGAAGGGGAGGCTCCTCCCGCGGGGCGGGGCGGCTCCGGGGACGAGCGGGACGGGCGGCACGCTTTGGGTGGGAAACGGCACAGAGGCACAGGAGGAACAGTCCTGCTGCTTCCCGTCACCGTCGGACCCGTGCTGCGCTGCGAGAAGAACAGGGGCAGGGATAGGGACAGGAATAGGGACAGGGATAAGAACAGGGATAGAGGCAGGAGCAAGCACAAGACAGGACGAACCTAGAGCTGCTACCCGCCCCTATGTGCCACGTATTCCCGCGGGGCTCCCCCCGCCAGACTGGAGGATTCTCCTCTTCTGTTTTCTCCATGCTGTCTGCCGTTCGTGCTGCTTTTTGGTTCCATCTGGTACTGAAAGTCTCCTTGAGGGACAAAGCTTGGAAAGGTGGCACATCACTCCCTTCTGCACGTCAAGGTGTGGAATCATAGAATCATAGAACCATCAAGGTTGGAAAAGATCTCAAAGATCACCCAGTCCAACCATCAGCCCACCCTCCCCCACCCCCCCACTCCCCCCCCATGCCCACTGCCCACGTCCCTCAGCTTCTCCCCATCAGATTTGTGCTCCAGACCCTCACAGACCATCTGGACATGCTCTTGCAGCATGGCATCCAAAACTGAGCAGAGCACTTGAGGTGCAGCCTCGCCAGTTCTGAGTATAGAGGAATAATCACCTCCCCACTCCTACTGATCAATGGTGATGAGGTGGTGGTGCACAACACCTGGAGACTGAAGGAAAGACAGAAGGATGAGGGGCTGGGAAGGCAAGCACCTACAGCTACTTGTTCCATTGCAGACCTTTCTGTGGTGTGGTTGCTAGCCTGGCTTTCTGCAAGGCTGTAAGGGACACATCCTAATGCTGCATCCCCATGCAGTCATGGCCTGAGACTAAGCAAGGAGAATGCAGGGCTGCTCACCTGTGATCAGGAATTTACAAGTCCCAGTGAAGAAAACTGAAGAATGTTTTTGCACATGGAGGGCCCATAACACCTTCCATGCTTGCCTTAGCCGACATTCTCAAATTGTTTTTTGAAATCTCAGTTTTAAAAGTTCTGTGTTCAAAAAGTTCAAGATGTTTCACTACAAGACAAACATATGTGTCTGGAGCTGAGTTGTGCTGAAAAAAAGACCAAAAAATGTAATAGGAGAATGACTCCCACCTAGCAACAAGGCTAAAACTGTGTAGCTGAGATCCAAAATTGAAATAATTTAGATTTGTTTATTTTGTTTCCCTCTCCAGTCTGTCGAACAATTGTTGCAGAAATTAACTTCTCGGAGGAGTTGCAGTGCATGCTGAAGTCCAATGGAAATTCAAACGTCAGCATTACAGCTTCCAGTCAGCCTGTCTCTCTTCACTGAGTAACTGAGCCCATTTGGTGCTTCTCACCACTGAGAATTCCTGCTAGAATGCTAGTTCTACATTTCTTACATTTTGCATACAAAGAATCATAGAATCAAAGGCTTATTAAGGTTGGAAAAGACCTCTAAGATCCCCCAGTCCAACCACCAGCCCACCCCCCCCCGCCCACTGCCCACGTCCCTCAGTGCCACATCCACACGGCTCCTGAACACCTCAGGGACGGTGACTGCACCACCTCCCTGGGCAGCCTGTGCCACTGCAGCACCGCTCTTGCTGAGGAGAAATGTTTCCTAATACAGAACCTGAACCTTCCATAGCACAGCTTGAGTTCATTGCTTCTCATCTCGTCATTGTTACTTGAGAGTTATCTGCACATCTCCAAGACATGGTATGTGTTCTGATATAGAACGAGAGATGACCCAGCCTGCACTCTGTTCTGTGTAAAACACAAGAGAGTGACTAACGGTGTCAATTATATTAAATCACTGACATAGTTAATAACTATAGCCTAGACTCTCATGAAAGAGACAGAATATCCACCCTGGGCTGGATAAAATGGCTCAGTAACTTTGGCACTGTTTTACTATCTATCATCCTCTTTCAAATTGCTGTTCATGAGAAAAAGAACACTTCTAATTCAGGAAAATCTCAGTGACTGACATGGCACAGACTGGACTGGCAAGTTCAGTTTCTGGATCACACCAACATGGCTAATAACAGGGATTTACAAGCAGATGCCAGTGCCAATGGGAAATCATACTAATTCTGCATCACTAAGAAATGGTACTGCTTTGAAAAGAGAGAAAAAATTCCAGTACTTTGTAAGGAAAACATAGTTCATGATATTTTCAAAACCACTTGTCCTCAGTGTGGATGTGTTCCTGCAGAAAGTCGAAGATAGCTCAGCATTCAGCGCAGAGAGAAAATAAGTCAACCAGAACTACATGGTTTTGAAAATACCTTTGGTTTTAGCCTAATGCTTTCTTGTGTCTCCTATGAGAACAGGCTGCACAAAAGGGGAATAATAAAAGCTTAATGATGACTGCGAGGGAGGGGCAGAGGGCTACTGACCCCTTAGAGCTGGTGAAGAAACCCAAACAGCTCAAGCTCTGCTCAACTCTTGTGGCAGCAGTAGTTTGTAGGAAACTGGAAGCAGGCTGCTTCTTCAGGGCATAGTTCAGCATCTCCTGGAATGTATTCTGCAACTTCATACAAAAAGAGTGAATGCCTTTAAAAAGCTGTCAACAAACACCGAAAATTTTCAAATCAGGTCTTATTTGGCAAATACAAGCCAAATTTTAAGATGAGAAATAATCTGTTTGCTATTGTGAAAGATCTTTCTTGCCCAGTTTTCTGTTTTTATTTATGGGTATGATCCTTGAGTCCTGTACTGGTCTTAGCAGATGGGAAATGGAAGGGTGTATTTCAGATACATCCATTGGAAAGCTGAGGGACAAGGGCAGGGTTCTCAACCCCCCTTTTGATATTTAACATATTTCCTCTTCTCAAAATATTGCTGGAAGAGAATATTTGATTGTGAAATTGATTATTCTGAAATGCAAAAGGACAGAAAGACTTTTAAACTAACTGAAATTGCCTTAAAAGTACCTTGAAGGTTTCTAATTTCTAGCTCATATATCTCTTCCGCTTCTTGTCAAATAGCAAATCATCCAGTAAGTCCTACCCAGCAATATCATGGCATCCTTTACAGTTAGCATTTTTTTTTTAATTTCTGGATGATATTTAAAAATGAGAAGTCCAAATATAGTTCATCTTGCAGGTCTTCAGTTATTGGTACCCTGGGATCATTAATCTCCATTTGGATTTTGTTCAGTGAATGTGGGGGAAAAAATACAGTGAACCCTTAGATCCCTGACCAACCTTTTTTTCCCTCATTTAGGAAGGTTTGAATGCCCAGAGACTGAGCATGTGAGCTGTTATTCAGTTCATACTGACTGCCACATTTGCTTACTCATTTATTGTGTTGCCAATATTTAGATGAGTAAGTAATATTTAGATTCTTAGTAAGACGTGTTGCAACACCTTTTGAATGAAAAGTGTTGTGTGTAATCAGTCTGCTCCTTTCACAGAGTGTATTAATACCATAAATCATAACAGTGCCCTTTACACAGGAATTTGAGGTCTTCACTCCTCTTTCACAACATCAAATTACAGTTTGAAAAACCATGTGATAGTTATGCAATTTGCTGTTAAAGTAATAAAACCTAAAAGTGTGTCTGATATCAGAGCCACAGGATGGAATCTGAGGATGTAAACCATCTCCCTCACATTTTGCAATCATTTTAGAATTCTGGTTTTGAGTTTGGATGTCAGTCAAAATATCAGGAAGACAACTGCATGCAAACATATCAAAAAGGCACACCTGAAAATTTTCTCATTTTCTTGGTCAAGTGCTGAGAAATTTTAGCTGTGCAGTGCTAAAATCCTGCTCCCTCAGAACTTCAACCAGACCTCATCCCATCTGAAGGGCTTTCTTATTGAGTTTAGACCACAGAAAATAGCTAGCATTCATTTGTGAAGGCTGTGTTTCCATCGTTTGTCTCCCACTACCCCTCCAGCATCACACAGTACAAGATTCAACAATAGATTGCAGACTATCACAGTAGTAAAAGCTCTCAATGGAAACACAATAAATCAGACTTCCCCAGGTCTTTCATAACCTACATGCAACACCTGATAACACAGAAATTGATAGCATCATCTAAAAATAACTACATCAAATCAGCATTCTGCTTTTCAAACAAATAGCTGTGATCTTCAAAAAATCTTTCACTTTGAGCTCTCAAAAAAAATTTGAAGCAAAAGAGAAAAGCAAGAGACAAGAATGTTCCTCTCCTATCCTTTTCTCTTTCCACTTGCTCAAACATTTTCTTTCAATATCATTTGCAAAATAAATATCCCTCCAAAGGTGACAAGAATGGAAATCTCAAGTGAGTTGCCAAGGTCTTCATCTTCAGAGACCCAAGATTAGTTCATTTGGTGACAGGCTAAGGTCTGGCAGCTCCACTGTTGTTCTGACTTCCCCTTTGTTTGCTTTCCTTCCTATCTGACCTTCAGACCTAGATTACTGTTTCCCCTTTACAGAGACTTTGCCTCGCTGAGCATCAAGATGCTCAAATCTCAGTAAAAGTGCCCCATGTGCCTGAGAACCTCTGTCACCTCTGAAAATGGGCTCTATTCTTTGAATATATTTTAAAAGAAAGTTCTGTAGCTCAAGTCCCCTCCTGACATCTTTGTCGTTCTCGAACCAACAGAAGCCTAGGTACCTCCCACTACCATTCTGTCAGCTTTCCAGGAGCAGTTATTGAGAGCAGCCCTGCAGAGAGGGACCTGGGGGTCCTGATGGATGAAAAGCTTAACATGAAACAGCAGTGTGCTCTTGCAGCTCAGAAAGCAAATGGTGTCCTGGGCTCCATCAGAAAAGGGGTAGCCAG